ATCTGTGGACTCTTCAGACCCTGGATTGTTTCCATATCTGACAAGGGCCTCCTTTATGTGAGATGGGATGCCAAGCCCATTAGTGAGTTTTTCACTTTGTATTTTGTTTAATTTTTTTCTTCTGGATGGGGAGATAAATAAGAGAGCTACAAAGAGACAGTCATTTTCTACTATTTCCTATCTGCATTTCCGCTCTGTGATTGCCAGGATGAAATTATATTTATCATCATTCATCATCTTGGGGATGCTTGTTTTCCTGTCAAACCCTGAGTCAGACTTCATTATGAGGGGAGACTTCTGGGACCTGTCACTGCACCCAGCACTTATTGATCAAGAAATGCAGTGTAGCAGAAACATGTCACTGCTTTGGAAACCTAGCGTCTTATTTTATGATTTTTATTTCTACATGCCTTGAATCACAGAAAACCAGAGCTCTTTTTTTGCCACCGGATTACAACTGACCTCTCAGTCTTTGTGAGGTTCAATGTCAATTGCAAAGCATTTTAGCTGAAAGGCACTTTGATCATTTCTACCACACAGGATGAAATGCTTTCCTACTGTAATTATCACAGCTATGTTCGCTGTGTTCAATTACTGCTAATTCAACGTAGTTACTTCCTGTTGCTCCTGTTTCACGTTCAAAATGATCCACTGGCAAATACTGACCCACTGTTGTAACAATAATATAGACAAAACAGTGACTTGAGTTAGCAATAGAATTTTCCTTTTGCAGTCTTGCTACAAACTACATCAGCAACTGCCTCACATTTTCTACAGCTCACAAGACCATTGTGTTCAGTTCCTCAGCTGAGGACTAACTAGGAATCCACACTGAAAGTGAGACATTAGCGGCAGGATCTGTGTCATTGTCATCAGAACAGCTATCTGTCTGTCAGCAGGACAGCGGCAGGAGAAAGAGGCTTTTACCAGGCACAAATATAGCACAGCACAAATATACTGGGACAAAAATAGCTTTTTTTGCCTTTTGTGAAGCATGTTGCATTATATATTTAATTATTATTATGTGAGTTCACCTCCAGTGCCATGTCTGTTACCTTGGCGGGGTGTGTCCTGTGCCGACAATCTAGTGTTGCGTCCCCCATGAGAACTGGCGAGGACACCTCGGAGTGGGAGCTGCTGGGGTTGTGGGGGACCTGTTGGCGAGGAGGGGAAAAGGTGCTGTAGAGAGCCAGGGAACCGTGAGATGGTGAGGTGGGGATGGAGTGTGTCACCACGGTGTGTTCAGAGATGTTGCCCATAGTCTTTGTGCTGGGCAGGGTGCCGTAATGACCCACAGCTGCAATCACAACAACAACAGGAGAAAAGAAAACCACAGTGGAGTCAGAACCTTGTCAGGAAATTGGAATCTATTCCAAATAGTGAGGTCGGCCATTTGAAAAAACAAGTCAAATATCAAATGATGACACAACACCAACATACTGTATGTTATCATGGAGCACATGGTTAACCCAAAAGCATGCGAAATGAAACCACAGTTTAAAGAGGGCCAGTCAAAACTCAAATGGTGAAAAAATGCTAAAAATATGATGAATATGTTACAGTTCTGTTTGTTTCATGATCACACCACACAGGTCTATTATGGTCTGCCTGTATATTTAGTGTCTTCAATGGGTGTTGAAGTCAAGAAATAAAAATTTAAAGAAAATATAAATAAAGTTAACTGTAACTGTAGGCTAGTATGGCAAATTAGCTCTACCCTGTCATTTCTCTTAATGTAAGACAGGAAGTAGTTTTATATCTCTCTGTAGTATTTGCACCTGTTGGCTGAGCCAAGCTTTGCCTGGAGAAGGCCTGCCTTTGCTGCCACTCATACAGCTGCCACATGGTGTCATCTCTCATCGACCTCCTCTTCTCTGCTGTGGTGCCAGCGCTGGTAGAGGCGGGACGGAGAGCATGGTCGTACACGGAGCCTGCCACGCTGCAGATGCTATCAGGCCTCATCATGCTGTTACGGGGCAGCGTGCGATATCCCTCTGGATAGCGGGGCACAATCTGAGCACGGTGGCTGGGCATGTTTCTGGGTAAGGTCTGGTAGGATGTAACACTTGGGGGAGAAAACAGACAAAGTGATGAGAAATCACTATTTGCTAATCAACATATATCAAGACTCTTTTCTCTTCTGATACACTCCCAGTACCCTCCTTGTTCATATTATTTATCTGTGTTTTCCTCTCCCCAAATCACAGCCTACAGCTCACAGCCTACTCTTCTTTCCTCCTTCTTCCCCCTTTCTTATATATTTATATTTTTTAACACAAAGAACACACCCTCACACCACTTGTAAAGTCATTATACACAGTGATATTCCTACATTTCTTTGTAAAGTGTCTTGTAACAATCATTTTGTTTGCGTTGTAATTAAAACAACAACATTACAGGAAGGTCAGATGTCAGATTGTCCAGTTTAGAGCTGTAGCTGGACCCCATATTCAATCTTTAGGGAGAAACACAAAAGTTCATTTAGAAGTCTGAAATGGCAAATATTTGCGAGTTCACAAGCTAGTGGGAAGTTTCCATTTCTGAGCTTTGAGTTGTTTGTCAAACCACAATAAGATGTAAAAAAAAAAAAAAACCACAAAGTCAAACAAACAAGTATGGACAATATGCTGGAAGAGGGCAAGCAAAATTGACTGTCTCCCCCTCTGTTCTCAACTATTACACTGTTGTGCAACTTTTCCGCCTGATTCAAAGTTACTCTTGGTTTGGAAAAATCCTCCAAAAAGAGCACTACAAGGGGAAGTGGGAAATGTGCTCAACTAAACAAAGTGGAACTGAACAGAAAAACAGCATTTTAAAAGATCTCAAGTAATCTTCAACTGTGTAAGAAGAGGGTGCATCAAGGTCTTTATTTCCATCTGCTATTGTTCCTTTTTATTATTTTTCTGCAAGGTGCATAGCGCTTTTTGTCAAAAGTAGAATTATCAGTTTGACTCGCTACACAGTTACTTCACTGAACAGAAAACATAGTGAGAGATTTATTCTTCAGTTGTTATTAGGCAAAGACAGCAGTACAACTACAACTGCTCAACTACACTACACAGAAGGTAATAAAGAATCTAATAGTGGCCAGACTGCTTGCCATTCTTTCTCTACTGCTGGCATCAGAGTAAGAATTCAACTGAAAATGTTTGTTTTTTGCTAAAAAAGACACTTACTGCCTTTGCATCAATCAAAATAAGAAAAACAACAGCTGACATTAAACATATGGCTTTTGACATTTAAGCCTCACTCAATTACATATGAGACCAACTCACATTTTAATGTGATTACATACCTAAAAGAGTGAAGAATCCTGGGTAAGAACAAGGATCAAAGTCACCCTGACAATCCCCCAAAACACCTGCATTATCCAGGAGCCAGTGAATAGGCGCCTTTAATCATGGTGTACTGAACAGGAACCAGCTTAATTATCTGTGTGTGTGCTTGACATGTAGGATGTGCTTGACTTTAAGTATCAAACTGCTTTTATTAAGAAAACTTTGTTTCACTTTCACTTTGACCTGAGAACATAAAGTAATGAGGAGCTGGTTATCATTACAGCAATTAGCAGCAAATCATAAAATGGATGCTCACATTTTCTAGAATCTGTCACTCTGACTACCCATCACCATTCTTCACCGGGACGGGTACAGCATGGCTGTGTTCGTTCATCTTGGTTAGGCTTTGCATTCAGCACAGAGAGGAAGACACGCTACTGTAATGCCCTGATCTGCAGCATCTATACAATGACACAAGTGGACTGAAGGACTATACCATGATGCGCATATTTCAAACTGCTTGTGTTTATACATAAATTGCCAATAAAGTTGGCTCTGATTCTGATTCTGAGAATGATTTCAGGCTGATTGAAAAATATTGCCCATGTAACATCATCATTTATGCCAACTGATGGTAACAAATCCATTCAGCACTGCACTAGAGCTTACTGTTTTGAATCTTGGATCTAAAACTGGCCTATGATAAGGTCATGGAGATAGAGTGCAAGTTCTCTCTGAAGGTATTTCCATGTCGATCTGCTCAAATGCTTATGGAAAGCTCCACGATCTCAGACTTAAGAGTGGGTGGAGATATGCTAGCACTTTAAATGAAAGTATTACTTACTAATACTATTTGATTTTCTTGCAATGACTGTTCGTAATTAAATTCGGCTCAGCAACAGAAGCTCAGTTCTGACATCAGATTCAGGTATCAATTTAAAGATGAGATTTAAAATGCAATCTGTTGCTGGAAGTCCTAATCAGCAGCACAGCTTTATGCATTTGCATACATGAGTGACTTTACACACACACACTGTGTGGTTTTAAGACAATTCACCTTTTAATTAAAGCTAAATTTTATGCATTTGCATTAGGTGCAAGGGATGTAAATTTCCAGTGGTGGAAAAAGTACTAAGATTTTTTATTTAAGTAGAAATAGAAATACCACAGTGTAAAATTACAAGTAAAATAAATAAAAATACAAGTAAATGTCCTGCAGTCAAAATGTTACTTAAGTGAAAGTACAAAAGTACAAGCATCAAAATACCAAAACACACCAATGTACTGTATATAATGTTATTGGATTACAATTTTTGATGCATTATTATGTTCATTGCCTTATCTTAATGCAGCTGGTAAAGGTGAAGCTCATGTTAACTACCTTATATACTTACAATTTTAAGTACTTCATATACTGCTGAGTATTTTCTGAATTTCCTACCATGGATCAATAAAATCTTATGTTTTTACTGTATTTTGTGTTGTTAATGTGATTCTGACTAAAGTTAACAGATAAATGTAGTGCAGTAAAAAAATACAATGTTTACTTAGTTACTTTGCACCACTGTCATGGTCATCTGCCCATGACCTTCATGGTCAGTGTAGTTGAAACAACACCGCACTGGCCAAAATTTATGACCACACAAGCAGTACAATTTAAAATGATATGTTTCATATCTGCACAGCCACAAGGGTCTAGGTGTCAGGGCTGCTCGGCGGCCGCTGCCTCTCCTCCGTCTTTCTCTCCTTTGCTCTCTCTATCCTGTGGGCTCTGCACCTCAGCTGTGTTGCATTCCAGTAATTAGCAACTGGTTGGTCGATGCACACAGCTGGGGTGCATCCCGATGATTACCTTC